TCCGGTGATACTATAGCTACGTTTGTTTTGGACGCTTTCAGCGTTATAAGCATCTTCTGTCATCGTTGCACATCGAATATCAAACGAAGAGAGAAGACAGCGCTTATAGCGCTGAAAGCGTCCAAAACGAACGCAATTATAGTATCACCGGATTGCGCGTATCATTGTAATCTGGTTACGTGTATATTCACCTCGCATTCATATAACAGAGATTAAGTTACTATTAATACTATTATAATCTCTTGCCTTTGTCTTTGACGAAGGCGTCAAAGCGAACGCACCCTTTATATTCTGATATCTTATACTCAATTCCGGTTTTCGCGTAGTCAAAGGAAACAACGCGATATATCGATATGAATCGTCTTAACGCGAGGAAAATTGCTTAGCGGACACTGATTAAGTTCTATAATGAGTATATGTCGCATATTCGGAATTTTGAAAAGAAATAAAAACTTTTAAATCAGATGTATATAATAAAAATACCCTGACAGCACACATATCCTAAAGACATTCAGAGAACACCTAAGGATGTTCGAATGTCCTCTGGATATCCTCTGGATATCCTCAGAATGTTTTTCGGATAAGGTGGGTATGCATGAAAAATATCAAGGATGATATTCAAGTAATAAACTGATGTCAAAATGACGTCATTTTGATGTTTAATGACATCATTTAATGTTAAAATGACGTACGCTTGCTAACTAAAAGTTTTTGATTTTACGTAGAAAAGATGAAACAAGATTGAATAAAATATATATTTATATATATATTAAGACTGTTTAAAATAATCCCACATTCTTCAATTTATTTGCAACAATGTAACAACATAATTTTCCAGGTAGCAAGCATACATTATTTTGATCGAATGACGTCTGTTTGCCACTTGGGTTACTTCTTTAGAAAAATAAGTTAAAGAGGATATACAAAATTTATAATGCAAGAAACGCATATGGATTTTAATAATATAAATATAACAAATAATAATAAAATATTATAAAAATAATAAATGTATATAAATATTATTTCTAATTTCTAATTAATAAGTTTGCTGGAGAGATTCAATGTACAAAAATTAATATTAATAAATTTGTTATAACGCTATAAAAGCTGTAGCATTTTAGGAAATAGAAAGATAAGAAAGGCAAAATTAATTAATTTATTTATTAAAATAGAATACTGTTGAAGATTTCAGATGAATTAATGAGATTATAATTTTAGATTTAATTACAAATGCATTTAACTTGAATTATAGATGATATATTTATATTCAAATCTCTCTCTGAGGTCGTCATCGATTTCGCTCATTGTCAAAAATAAAAAATTTAATAAGATCGAAATGTGACGTGTATATATATATATATATATATATATATATATATATATATATACAAAAAGCTGTCTAAATAATCTCATCAATTTATTTGACACAAATTTTCTCATTCAATAATTGGCTTACAGCATTAATTCCAGTTTATTCTTTAAATAGAACTCTTGTTATGCAAATTAGAAACAATTTACTTACACTTTACTACATACTCACAACAAAACGTGCTATATAATTAAAGTATTTTAAATACACGTGACGAATACAATAATAGTCTCGCAGTTTGTACAGGAAATTTTTTTATTGAAAAAAAATAAGAATAAGAATTAGAATCTATAATTCTTGAAGTCACGTTGCTTTCATGTGCTCCATTATATAAACTGTCTCCTACCCCTCTCTTTTTTCAAAGTATCATATAACCCGCGATAACGATCAGTTTTCTCAGATTTCAAGATAAATTTCCCGAGCATCCCAGTCCTTCAGATATTGCTAAAATATCTCTTTTTTAATACTTTAATAAAAGAATATATATATATATATATATATATATATATATATATAAGCAGAACAGGATTGATATTAAAGAAAAAAAGGATTTTGTACAAAATATATTTTTGCAAAAAAATTTCTTCTGAATACATTTTCGTAAAAAAATTTTTTAATGAATCAAAGTGCCTGCATCCTTCTCCCCTTTAATCTTAACTCTCCTTGTTTCACGTAATTAATTTAATTCTAATTATTATGAAATTGATAGTTGCAATTTTAAGTGATTTTCATCATAAAAAAAAAGAAATTTTTTTACACACAAAAGGGTGTATTTTATAATAAAATTAAATTAAGTAGGAGTATTTCTATTGCAATAAGCGGAAAAATTAATTAATTAACTGTAAAAATTGTATTAATTATCTGAGCACCCTCCCGGTTGTTTTCTTCTACACATTATAATTTAATTATTATAATATTGAACGGGGTAGACTTTTAGTTCGCCAGTGAAAAAATTAAAACACTTTATTCTTATATAAGTCGACCAACTGGCAAAAAGTTATAATATTGTATAATTAATAAAGCTGATCTAGCGTAAAAAGACATGGGAAACAATCCTTTCTCGCGTTATTTATTCCGCGTAAATAAAATAATTAAAGAATATAAAAAATATTAAAATAAATAATAGAATAATAATAAATAACAAAAATAATAAAAATAAAAAGTAATAAAATTAAACAAAAAGTATCGGTATTATAATTATTACACAGGCGCATAAACACACACACACACATATTATTACACATTTCCGTTCATGTGAATTAAATTAATTCAGCGTCAGAAATTAGCTGACTCTGATTACGCGTAATTCAGATATCGAGAACAATTATCAGCAGACTCATTTGTTCTATTATTGTACCTTGCGATTATCTTATAACTACAGATGAGATACGCCGTCTCTCATTTAGATTATAGAATCATCCGTTTGTCCCGATTTCAGCGAAGTATAATTATAGAAATTCTCCGCTTTGGCACAAATAGATTAGGGTCAGATTTAGACTGAAATTCTTATAATTAGCCAATTACACGTAGAAATCGTCGCATCTCGGTTAAAATACTGGAATCAGCAATTTAAAAACATGAAAAACATTCTTGGAGAAAATTACAATTTTCGTTGCCGTGTAAAATATAAAAGTTAATTCGTCAGATTTCTATTTACCAGCTAATTTGCGTGCAAAATCTTTTATACATGTCTTATTATTATAATATAATTTTGTATATATATTGTAGTAGTTAATACGCATATATTTGGAGATTTTAACTGATGGCTATATTCGAAAATAAATTATTACAATGGAAAAATTATATTTAAATATATTTTTGTGAAAAAAAATATTAAATTATCTACCGATTTTTTTAATCAAATGAGTCAACTATCTTATTTTATTGTATTATCATAGGGTTAAGTAAATTAATAATTTTTTTTAAACTAAATTAAGTTAAAATTATATATATATATATATATATATATATATATATATATATTGTGTAGGTGCTTATAAAATTAATTCTGTTAAGTTAAAAGTTGCACGAACAAAAAATTAACTCAGTTAAAGTTAAGTTAAGATTAAATTAAGTTAAATCAAAAGTTAATTTTTAAAAACATTATATTAAATTAGAATTTTATTTGTTAATTCTTTTCAAATTTTTAATAATAAATAACAAAGAAATTTTGATTTTTATATAAAAATATATTTTTTGGTAATTACAATTAATGACAAATAAACATAAAAATGTATAATACTTTAATTTAAAAATAATACGTTTATAACTTATAAAAAACAATACTGGTATTTAGAGATTAAAAAAATTTAACTTAGGAAAAAAGTTAATAAGTCTTAAGGCCAAAAATAACTAGTTCAAGTTAAAAATTAATATATTTTAAATTAACTAAGCTAATGTAAAAGTTATTAACTTTTTAACTATTTTTTAAACTAATTAACTAGTTATTACCCAACCTGATCATAGGAGTCATGAAAACTGCAAATGCGAATCAGAGTAACGCATAATTCCTGGACCAGTTTCTAGTCCCAATGATTCTTTTCACGCAATGCGATGCAAATGTTTTTGGCTGCTGAATAATTGACACTGCATACTGTATTGATTTTTCAAAGTACAGCATCTAGAGGGTATATCCACCCCTTGACATCGATCGGTAGTGTAAGTTCAATGACCGCGGCATAACTAGTTTCCAAGATCTATATCATAAACGAAAGAGAGAGAGAGAGAGAGAGAGATGAAGAGAGGGAGCGAGAGAAGGAGGACAGAAGCAGCATCCCCAAGAGTACCGAACTGAAATCGTATTTCTAAACATCGGTTACGGATCGTTATCCGATCGTGACAATCTGTATAATCGAAATTCTGCCAGTAAATAACGAGTGACAGATAAGAAGGGGTGAATTTACGAAATTCGCGAACAGAGAAATTTATTTATTTAATAAATAATAAATGTGATATAATATGTGTATATATAATTTTTTGCTAGATTATATTTGTATATTTATATATGTAATTTAAAATTTTTTTATAATATACATATTTAGAATTTATATATATTATAATTATATATGTATAAGATATATATATAATATATTTAAAAATTCCAATATATACATTTAGAATTTTTATATACATATATATATATTTTATTAAAATAATTATATTAACATTATATATATATGTAAATAATAAAATTCATTTAATTCTTCTAAAAGTGTATGATACGTAAGATGTCTATTAAAAAATTAATTTTAAAAAATTATCTATATCTCGAGCAGATTCTCGAGCTGTAGGATAAAAAATTATTCCCAGATTCACTTCCTCTTCCTGTTCAAATTGAATAGTCAAATATCTGGCATTGTACGAGTCACGTTTATCGTTAGTGTTTTCCTTTAAAGTATGACGTAGATTCTTCGAATCGAAGTCTTTCATCGTAGTCTCGTTTCAATTGCTGCTGTGCTGCAGCAGCAACCAGTTCCAACCCCCAATCCCCCGTAACTTCCGACATCCTCTCCTCTCGGCGTCGTCCTCTCACGTGGACGGCAAAAGCATGCGCGTGTTCCTGCGTTGCACCTGCGGCGGTATAAAAGGCCGCGCGTCGGATGCATCGAGTTCAGTCTGATCTCGATAATTTCAAGGTGAGCGTCGCAAGACTCTTACGTCGAGGAAAAAGGGATCCAGAGACAGAGCGATCGTTGAAACGAAAATATATACAGCGAAATAAGTTCTCGGGAGGGTCAACAAGTGTTTAACAAGTGTTTCTTTCATGTGCGTGTTAAATCACTCGATCCGAGGATAATAACTTTCCAACGTTCTATTTATTCTCTCAGAAGCGTGTGACAGGATCTTAAGTAACAAATAAGTCACTTAAGATGGAGGACTCCTCGCAACTGACAGACCTGAGCGATCATCGATCACCCCAGCATCATCATCGGCACCACTATCATCACCATCATCATCATCATCGGGGTAGAACGCCCGTGGGCGAGATCGGCGACGACGAGTGCAGCACCGACAGCGGCTGCAGCAGCGGCGGTAGCACCGGAAGCGGCAGCAAACGCCTGTCGCGTTCCGGAAGCGGCGAACGCCTGTGCAGATCCAGCCGATCGCCCAGAACCCACAGTTACTTGGACCGATTGCGGGGACGACCGACGCGATCCCAGGAACGGTTCAGCAGCAGCGTCCAGAGATCGTCGGAACGCACCTGGAGCCCCTTCAAGGACGTGAAGAATCTATCCCTCGGCGGGGTATCGCCCTCGTCCTATTCATCCAGCCCCTCGGACGCGCACAGCAGCAGCGACAGCGATTCCTTTAAGAGGCCGTCTACTGCGGAGACTCTGCGCCGGACCTTCGAGAGTTTGAAGATCACCTCGTCCAAGTGGGAGAACAACAAGGAGAAGAAGCTCGTGAAGAAGAGTCCGAAAAGAATCTTGCGCAGTCCGGTGTCCTACATGTATGTCCGCGGACTATCCGGTCTGCCGACTCAAAGGGTCCCACGAAACTCGGGCTACCTTCAGTAGCGGACGATAAGGATTTGCTCCTGCCGGGATTCAATCGAGCTTTATTGATAAATAGATCCTGAGATTCTAGGACCAAGACACACTTGTCCTATTCATCCAGTCCCTCAGACGCGATTCCTCAAAGAGGCCATCCGGTCTGCCAACCCAAATGATCTCACGAAACTCGGGTCATCTTTAGTAGCGGACGATAAGAATTTGCTCCTGTCGGGATCCAATCAAGCTCTATTGATAAATAAATCCTGAAAGATGAAGGACCAAGACACACTCTGCCAGATTCTATCTCTCGACGAGGTCCTGCCCTCGTCCTATTCATCCAGTCCCTAGGACGCGATTCCTTAAAGAGGTCATCCACCGTGAAGACTCTGCGCTGGGCCTTCGACAGTCTAAAGATCACCTCGTTCAAGTAGGAGAACAACAAGCAGAAGAAGGGGATTCGTGAAGAAGAGCCCTAAAAGAATCCTGCGCAGGCTGGTGTCCTACATGTACATCCGCGGACTATCCGGTCTGCTGACCCAAAAGGTCCCACTAAACTCGAGTCACCTTCAGTAGTGGACGATAAAGATTTGTTCCTGCCGGGATCCAATCGAACTCTGTTGATAGATAGATCCTAAAAGATGTAGTACACACTCTGCCAGGAAAAGGCGAGGAATTCGTATTTAAGGATTAATATATGCGCAGTTGAGCGTGGTTCCTTCTCGACAGTTTTTACTTAAAAATTGCCCACGTGTTTTCAAAACACGAACTATTGCTGCAGATTTTCCTAAATTCTTTGTGGAATTTTACGTCCCCTTTTTCTAACTCATCGTTCGTTTTCATCTACGATATCACGCTGGGGATATTTTCTCCAATCGGATACTTCTGTCCTCAGTAGTACAAGTCAAGCGTAATGCCGGACTCATTTAGACCGATCGATTAGATCGAAACGAAGACAGAAATGAAAAGGAAAATAAACATTAAGATTCAGAAAGAAGATAATTGAATTAATCTATCAGTGTATGGATATCCGGGTACCTCCAACTGCGATTCGACATATTGACAATTTATTTCTAGCTGCTGAGCATCCGACATTCTTTTTTACTATATTTTAGACGGTTTATCGAATATAAAAGCTCTTTGTATTTCATTTTGTGTGGAAAAAAATTCCGGCACATTTGAACATTTAACATATAAAGTTACTTTAGGTACCTGGGTAGCCAAAAGTTAATTGACAGAAAGGGTTAAATAAATATATTAAGCGCAGATGGTTCTCGATACAAAATAGGACAAATCTTTGATGTATTCGGGATCGTCTGCGCGACACTTTCTAATACTTTTGCAACATCTTTTTACCGAAATCTTTGCTGTATCAAGTCATGTCGTAGGGTGTTTTAAAGCCAAGATACTCTTCTCGTAATTATAGTTATACACATCTTAACTTTTAAGGATACCTAATCTCGAGTCGGACTAATGTTCTCTCTAATTGAGCGATATATTGGAGGACATTTAGCGTACGAACATGCAGACTGATAGATTTAATGTAACATTAATCCTTACTCCATCATTTATCAGCAAAAATATGTAGGATTTCGCTAATCTTATGCTATACTTATCTTTATTGTATAACTTCCTTTACAATAGTTCACTTGGATTCTCTCTTCAAGAGACGAATGACTTCTTAAAAATTATAAAAAATACGAGAAATTACAATATAATAATAATAATAATAATAATAATAATAGTAGCGATGATAATATTATTAAGCAAAATATATCGTAAAGAGATATTCAAAATTATTTAATATGCGACAAGACACGACTCTCAGGTGCATTCTAACGGGTCTCTAAAGACATTTTAATTAAATATTAATTAAATATTAGATATTATTAATAAAATATAATAATATAATATAAAATATATATTATTTATATTATTATATTTTATTATAATATAATAATATAACATATAATATATATATTATTATATTATTAAGGAATTTTAATTAAATATTAATTAAATTACTGCGAGGGTGGGATACATATTCACTCGAAATCGAATAATCAATTTCTCGATTTTTGTACCTCCGTTTATCGTTTATGATTATTTTTAATCGGCACTAAGAGACGCGGTCCTAATAGTCGTGCGATAGTCAATTAATATATCGAGACGTAAATAATACGTAAATACATCGTAAATAAATCTCTCTGATATCAAACAAGTTTCGAGTAAATTGATGCATAAATATTTTAAAATAAATATTTTTAGATTTCTTAAAGAATTTCTAAAATAGATATTCGTTTCGAATATAATTTGTCGTAACAAGCACATCAAATCCCAATTTCAAATGAAATACCCAATTAATAGCAAAGTGTGTATCGAGTAATTATAAATAATTAAGGAATTAAGATTGGTATATCAAGAACATTATTTCAGACCAAAAATAAAGAAACTGCCCTCGACATCTTATATGAATAAAAAGCTGCGCGAATCATCGTCTTACATAGAGTCAAAAACAACCCTTGCGCAATAAAAATGTATCATTTGTAGGACGATTTCACAAAGAAGAAGAAATTGATTCATTCATATATAGTATTAAAAAACGAATATCTGATATTATCTGTGTGTGAATATATATATATATATATATATATATATATGAGAATATGTGCATTCATATATCATGTAAAAATTAGAATCGAAAGATTTTGTCTCTTGAAATTTGAAATATTGTTAAAATTGTATAAAAATTCTTTATAAATTTATTTGCTTAAATTTATATATTTATTATCTTCATACATATGCAGATAATTTTTCGATTTCGAGTTTAATATTTTTATAATTTTGAAAATATGTATATATATATAATACGTACATATACATATGCTTTGTTACGTAAATGGTTACGCAGCGTATAAGGCTAATCTAACTAATTGGCTGATGTAAGCGTATCCTAATTATTGCTGTTCACAATTAATAAAACGTACGACTGTGCGTCGAGGAAATCATCCACGACCGGCGGATACTGATTAATCTCGAAATAAAAAAGATAAAAATTTTTTAATGTCATCAAAAAAAAAAATCGAAAAAATTTGCAAAAATTCAAGAATGAAAGAGATAGAGTATAAAAAACGTCTGTGCGATTCATTTCTAGTGCCTTGTAGATATTTCCCATACGTGATTGGGTGTTATATCACAAAATTGGCGAAAATGCAAGAAAGAGGGAGTCAAAAATAACATAAAATTATATATTATCCGCCACAGTCAGACCTTCGTTACATATATGTGTAAGTACGATGCAGTCGTACAAAGAATGATTGTTGTGTGTGTGTGTGTGTGTGAGAAAGAGAGAGAGAGAGTGTGTCGCTACTAAAAAGATAAGGAGTAAAGATCAATTATACTCAGGACTGAATGTTTTGTATATCGTTTTGTCTATGTCGACATAATTTACGATTCAAATAAACGTTTTTCATTCTAAAATCGTTCTTCCTTCTTTCTCCTTCGTTAAATTCCATAATAATTAAGGATGCGTCGACAAAAATGCAAAGTTTTCAAATTTACAAACACATATAAGAATATCTGTAATACATTTTTCTCTATCGTGATATTATAATATTATTTTTTATGATAATAATATGAATTTTTAATAAAAAAAATTATTTATTATATATAATTTAAATATTAATAATATGAATTTTTTATCTTTATTATGATATTATTTCTGCTCTCGAAATAAGTTTGCTTTATACACACACACACACAAATATATATATATATACACATACATACTTTCTTATTAAATCCTCGAGAGAAAAATACAATATTATAAAATTCATTAAGTTTACATGAAAGAGAATAAACTTTTTGAGCATTAGTGAAAAATTTTTTGCTTTAATTTTTTTATTATTAAGTGTATAAAAATATACTATAAAACTATAAGGCTGTCATATTATAACTTTTGCATTAAGATATCTAGAAAACCAAAGCTTTCATAAAAAATGTTTCATAGAAAAGGTGTAGGATTTCGAAGGGTTGAAACATTTTTGAGATTTTAAAGTTATCAATACTTTTTTAAACGCAACCACATCATAATTTTCTTATACAAATCGATTTCTCGTAATATTTGACATAAAGAATGTTAAAGTATAAAATAGTCGAAAAAATAAATAATTACGAGATTATTTTATACTTCATTTTGATAATTGATACGTTTTGATAAAGAATATTAAATATCTCACAATATATATACTCATTTTTCGATAATCTTATCTTTATCTTTCTGTATAGAATAATATTAAATAAATCAATTAATATGAGAAAAATTGATATAAAAAAATTACAAGAATTACTCTTGTAATTTAAAAAAATTGTAATTTGTAATACACACTTTTTTAAAATAATTATGTCTTTTTTGACATTAAATGATTTATTTCATTATTCTATGCAAAAAATTACTAAATTAAGATTATCAAAAATGAGTAAATATATTGCAAGATATTCGTTGTCAAAATTGGTCAGAATAAAATATAAAATATCTCGTAAACTATTCATTTTTCAACTATTCAACTTTAACGATTTTGTATGCCAGCTGTTACATAAATCGATTAATAAGATTAATCGACTAATAAGATTATTCCATGTAGAGGTATTTCTGAGATTTCGAGTTGCTTTATAATAACGAAAGAAAAATTTTGAAACCTACATATTATAAACTCGTAGTCGGAATAAGAGAAAAAAAATAATACAAATTATAAAACAATTTTTCGCTTAAATCTCACACTTATTGAAGAACAATGTACCTACTTTACAATTTTTAATAATTATGTATAGAATATAGGGACTAGAGTGAATGGCTATATTACTGGCAGTGTCCCTATTACTGTCAGTTAATATTTAAATGGTTTTTATAATCTAACCATAAATGTTACATTATTTTAAAAATGTTTTAAAATTTTTCAATAAATTTACTTATTATTAAAGTGAATAAATAAAAATTAAAGTTAAAAATACTAAATTAGAGATAATAAAACAGCATGAGCCTATTACGAGCTATGTGAATTGATGTCAAACATATATACTTCCAAACTTTACATCAAAATCGTATAAATCTACTTTACAATGAAACGTTTCGACGCTTACTTGCGTCTCTTTAATCATAATTATGGTAGTTAAAACATAGTGAAACGTTGGTTAAGCCAGTACGATGTGATCCGTATTAAGTCAATCCTCCTCTAATATGTCCTAGGTCTCGTGATTTCTATTATTAAAATTATTTTATTACATATAATACTTCTTCAAACAATATAACCGAAATTCAAGTAACTTATAATATAACTCTCACCATAACTTCCAAATTAAAAAACCATAGATTGACACTAGTCACAGAAAGATAGAACATCTTGGTACTCATGTTGTAAATACAAAAGTGATACGAGTCGCGACCTGACACTCTATATATATCTGCTGCTAATTGGTAAACATGTTTTGTAGAAATTGTTTAAAAAGTTCGTTAGGAAGACTTCAATAAAGGAAAATAACTGCTATCTAATGTATATCTAAATCTTCAATTTTATTTAAACCTCTGTTTTGTTGTTTTATGAAAATCATCTCTGATATTAATCGTTTATAATAATTGGGTTCACGATCAAGAATTTTTATGTTTTCCCAATTAATAGAGTGATTTTCACTGATAATATGTTCAGATATTACCGAAGGTTTCGTGTGTAAATATCTAATATTATTTTTATGTTCCTTTATTCTTGTCTTCAATTGTCTTTTTGTTTGATCAACATAAGTCGCATTGCAATCCTTACAATTAATTTTATAGATAACATTATTGGTCTCCATCCTTGGTGCCGAGTCCTTATGCACCTTAATAAATTTATTTAGACGATTGAAACATTTGAAGCCTGTGGCATATTCTGTTTTTTTGAAAATTTCGCATACTCCCTCTGATAATCCATTAATATACGGAACAGCTATGAATCTTTTCTCCTTTTTATTAGTAATATTGTCATTAACATTAAACTTATAGCATTGTTTAATTTAGTGAATATTAAACTTTTTATTCTGGAAATAGCATTTTTGAATATAAACTGAAGAGAATATTCATTACTTAATAAAATATTGATGCTAAATTTTATATTTTTTGGTGAAATTTGGGATGTGATAATAATATAGATCTGTCAATTAAACTATAGATAATACCAATTTTATGGCAGGTAGTATGATTTGAATAAATGAAAGATATCTGCTCGAATAAGAATTTTTTGGTACCAATCTATTATAATCTTATTATTGTTGGTATAAATTTTTAAATCTAAAAAGTTTATAGATCCATTATCTTGTAATTCATATGTAAATTTGATTCTATCGTGAAATGAATTAAACATATCTAATGTGTTCTGTAAAGCATCTTTTTTGATCGCAATTAGAATATCATCAATATATCTGTAGTAAAACTTAATATCTTTGTCAAATTAATATAAAACTTTATTTTCTAAATCTTGTAATAAAAGATCAGCCACAATAGGCGATAGTGAAGAACTCATAGGTGTTCCAAATGTTTGGAAAACGTCTCATTGTAAAGTAGATTTATACGATTTTGATGTAAAATTTGGAAATATATATGTTTGACATCAATTCACATAGCTCGTAATAGGCTCATGCTGTTTTATTATCTCTAATTTATAAATTAACGAGCTTATTCATT